GCACATACATGCAGGAGGCCGACTTTTCCGACATGTTCACCGGGCGCCTGCGCACCGAGATCCCCCCCTCGCTGGAGCACCTGTGCGGGGCCCTCAAGTCGCAGAAGGCCCTGCGCATGCTGAATGTCTCGGACAATGCCGTTGGCCTGACCGGCGTCCAGGCCATGGCCCCGCTGCTGCGCGAGCACCGCACCCTCGAGCGCCTGTACATCACCAACTGCGGCCTCGGCCCGGCCGGCGGGTCTGGCCTGGCGGACGCCCTGCGCGGGATGATTGCCCCGGACGGCTCGTGCGCCCTGCGCATCCTCTACTGCAGCCGCAACCGCCTGGAGAATGTGGCCGCCGCGCGGATGGGCGAGACCTTCGCCGCGCTCAAGTCCCTGCGGGAGGTTCGCCTCTTCCAGAATGGCATCCGGCCGTTCGGCATCTCGCGCCTGATCCTGGGCCTGGCGCACAACCCGGAGCTCCTGCGCCTGGACCTCGAGGACAACCTCATCCGGTATGCCGGCGCGCGCTTTGTGGCGCGCGCCCTCGAGGCCGGCTGCTGGCCCAACCTGGCGTCCCTGATCTTGGGCGACTGCATGGTCGGCTCGCGGGGCACCGAGCGCATCGTGCGCGCCCTGGCCACCAAGGCCCCGGCCCCCACCGCCACCACCACGGCCACCGCGCTCCCCACCCCGGAGGAGGGGCAGGTTGTCTCGCTGGAGAGCCTGGTCGGCACCGAGTATGCCGGTCTCCGCGAGCTGAACCTCGCCTATGCTGAGGCCAGCCCGACCGCCCTGGCCGGCCTGCCGGAGCTCCTGCGCGTCCATCCGCTGCTCAGTTCGCTGGTCCTCTCGGGCAACGAGCTGAAGGCCGATACCCTTGCCGGTGCGTGGTCCTCCTTTTTCCTTCTTTTTCCTCCTTCGCGTGCATGCCTCTGCTGGCTTTCCTTTTTCCATGTCTCCTCCCGCCCCCCCCTTCCTCCGTGGCTGACCGTGCTTCGGCTCTCGTGCCGCCCCTTTTTTTTGACCGATGGCTCCGGCCAACATGCACGCACGCACGCACGCACACACGCAC